ATCAGAGAGTCGGTTGGTGCCAGGATGTTGCTCTGTATAGTAAATTTTTTATAAAGAGGTCTGCAAGGTCTTGGGCACTGAAGTCATAGCATTAGGAAACAAATATAAAAGAAGAAAATTAAATCAATGTGGCTTAGTACAAGGGTCAGTCAAATGATAAAACAATAAGCAAAGGGCATTCAAAATGTTTAAATCAGATGGGTCGATTGCATCCTACAACAAATATAAGCATGCCATTAGGTTTTGCAAAAAAGTGATTAGATTGGCTAAACTTTAAAACGAAAACAGAGCAAAACCAACCCCAAAATGTTTTTTTAAGTATATCAATGCCAAAAAAGTTGAGTGAAAGTGTTGTGTCTATTGGAAAGTGAGATGGGTGAGTTAATCAAGAAGGATCAGGACACGGCAGAAATTCGAAATTATTTTTCTTTAGTATACAGAGAAAACAAATCTATGGCTGTAGATTTGTGGTAAAGTGCTGTAAAATGCTCCAGTAAATAACTAAAGTTAGTGTAAACAAAGCCCCAGTGCTAGATGGTATTCACCCACGTGTGCTTACGGAGCTTAGTGTAGAAATATCCATACCACGGTTTTTCATTTTTCAGGATTTTTTTCTTTCCGGAATTATAAGAGGATTGGAGAAAAGCAGATGTGGTGCCTATGTTTAAAAAGGGTTCAAAAGCTCAACACTGAAACCGCAGATCTGTGAGCACATCTGTGGTTTGGGAAATTATTTGAATGGCTGTTAAGGGATAATGTTGAAGAATAAATTTTGTAACAAAAATATCATTAGAAGAAAATAAGATGGTTTTATGAAAGACCGGTCGCGCCAAACCAACTAATTTACATTCTATGAAGAAGTTAGTAGAAATAAAGATTAGCGTGATCCTGTAGATGTGAACTTCTTGGATTTTGGTAAAGTTCCAAACAAAAAGTTACATGTAAAGCTGCAATCTGTTGGTTTAGATGAAAAAGTGTGTTCTTTGATAGAACACTGGCCTAAAGATAGAGTGGAGGAGAGAAGTTGTAAATGGAACACTTTTCACTTGGACAAAAGTGCTAAGTGGAATGCCTCAGGGTTCTGTCCTTCTCTTAAATCTATTTATAAATAATCTTTAAGCGGACATTGAAAGTAGTTTGTTGGTGTTTGCAGATGACACAAAACTAGTCAAGAAAATACAGTGGACATATGATATAACTTCTCTACAGAGGGATTTAGATAAATTGGGGGACTGGGCAGGTAAGTGGCATATGAGTTACAATATTGATAAATACAAAGTCATGCAGTTTGGAATAAGGAGCCCACAAGCAACATATGCATTAACCCCTTAATGGCGTTACAGTGTTCTATGATATCCAGCATTTAATGTGCTTCAGGGCCATTGCGGTGGCATAGAAAGCCGTAACTGCTTTGAACCCTGGTACCTCAAGGATACTCACCCACTTGGCGTTCCACTTCTGGGGGACCACCCAGGCAGTCCCATGTGGCAAATTAGGACCTCCAGGGCCATGTGATTGCTCTGAAAGAGTGATCAAATGGCCAGCATAGCAGGTTAAGGAGCTGGCACTGCTTGGGTTGTAAACAAAATAAAAAATTAATAATGACCCAAATATAAATAACTCTGACCAGGTCCATGTGGGTTTGGGCCCCTGGCTGCTGTTAGGCAGGATAGCGAGGCAGTGGCGGTCCGCCCCACTCACCGCCGGAGAAGGCCCCAACTGGGACGTCGAAGATTTCTCCTCCAGGGGACTAAAACTCAAGGAGCCAGCCTCGCCCTGGATCCAGTGTCCCTTTGCACTGACGGCCATCGCTGTTGGCCTGCATTTAAGTTGAAAATCATGTTTTAAAGGCTTAGAGATTGGTAAGTTTCAGGAGCTGATCTTGCTTGCAACCGTCCAGCTTGGCGGTCTGGCCCCGCCCCCTGGGAACCAGTTTTAAAGGAGGCTATTGCAGAATTAGAAAAAGTGCAGAGGCAAACGACAAAACTAGCAAGGGGAATGGAAAACATTAATTATGTGAAAGGCTAGAAAATCTGGAATTGTTTCTTTAGAAAATTGGCACAGGTAAAACGGCAGGGAGGGAGACCATCTATCTGCAGGTAAGGATAGCTGGTGCTAGTTTCACCTAGGGTGCCGACTCTGTGAGGGAAACAGCTCCCTGCCACTTGGGGAAGGAGAGAGGGAGAGAGAGACACATGGATGGAATTGGTAAGGGAACATGGAGGGGAGTGAGACATGGATGGAAGTGGTTGAGGGACTTGGAGGGGACTTGCTAGAGACACGGATGGAGGGGGTAGGAGGACATGGAGGGGAGAGACATATGGATGGAAGGGGTAGGGGGACATGGAGGGAAGGAGGACATAGTGGAAGGGGTAAGGGGACATAGAGAGGATGGGGACATGGATGGAAGGGGCATGATATACAAAGTTTATGCATTTACTGCACATTGGCTTGATATGTATGTTTTATGCATTTAATACTTTAATGGCATTCCCTTGCCCCCTAGGATGTTTTTGCCCCTCGGGGTATATGTGTGTGAGTGCATCAATGTGCTTGTGTGTGTGTGTGTGTGTGTGTGTGCATGCATGCATGACTGGTTAGGGAAGAGTCTTGGACCCAGGTAGCACAACTTGGGCCAGCCCTGTGAAGCTGGAAACATATGAAAAGTCGGAACAGGTTACTAAAATTTTTGGTACAGGGTCATTACAAATGTGCTAGCTTGTTCATTTGCAGGAATATACAATAGACAGGATTTCACCTATTGAGACTGGAAGAAAGGTGTTTTCACTCGCAGCAGAGGAAATGGTTCTTTACAGTAAGAGCAATAAAGATGTGGAATTCTCTGCCTAAAGAAGTTGTGTTTTCAGATTCTATAGATAGATTTTAAAAATGTTTGGCTTCTTTTTATTCTAAAATGGAATATTCCATGATATAATTCACATTATGGAGTCAAGAAGGATTTTTTTCCCCCCTTTTTCTTTTTTGAGACATAATTGGAAATGACTACAACTGCAAGTTTTTCTTTGCTTTATTTTGAATCAGCAGCCTAAAAGAATAACCTTCACAGTTGAACTTGATGGACTTTAGTCTTTTTTTAACCTAGACAACTATGATAAGCAGATTGTATAGCTTATCATAGTAATGACACAAGTGATGTGGTGAGAGACCCTAAAAACTGGGCACGTTTCCCTAACTTGACATCCACACTCAATGCAGCCCATGCCCAGAGCACTATTGAAGCATTCTTGCATGGGTAAATGCCCTAAGCATAGTGTCTAGAGCAGGCATAGGCAATCTTCGGCAGTCTAGATGTTTTGCACTACACCTCCCATGAGGCTTTGCAAGAGCATTATGGGGGATGTAGTCCACAACATCTAGAGTGCCAAAGGTTGCCTATCCCTGATCTAGAGTAACTTTCACGGTTATTCACTAAAGTGTAAATTGTTGGCAATTTAAAATACATTTTAAATGTAAGGCCAAAATGGAAATATTCTCCAAGTCAGCTAAACTGCAGGTTTGACTACTTACATTTAAAAGTCACAATGAATACACTTTAGATTGCCAACAATTCTCACCTTAGTGAATAACTCTCAAGGAAATTCACTAAACTGAGAACTGTGAAGGGTGAATTGAAAATTAATTTACATTTTCAGGTTCAAATAGCCTGGAACTGGAAACATTCTTTAAGCCAGCTATGCTTTCAGTTCAACTACTCTGGCCTTAAATGTGTAATTCACTTTGAATTCTTATTTTATTGAATAACCCTGCCTGTTCTTCTTTGGTATAACCAGACACAGGATGTCAGAGACCAGAAGAGAAATAGTGGGTCCAGACCACAAAAACAATGTTTTAAGTAAATTCTAAAAACAGTAAATGCTAAAAAAAAAAAATCCCTTTCAGCTGCAGTGAATGAATCAAATGCCAGTATGTTGACAAACTAATCGGTTTGTTAGACAAATCCCAAAATAATTGATTTGTTGGTCCGTAGACTGACAGGCATTTGATTTGTTCACTGCAACTCAAAGGCATTTATGAATGATTCTAGCAAATTACATTGATATATATTAATCCCTTAAAGGGACACTGTATTATTATTATTATTTTTATTTTATTATTTATATAGTGCCAGCAAATTCTATAGGCACCCAGACCACTTCAGCTCATTGAAGTGGTCTGGGTGCCAACTCCCATCACCCTTAACTCTGCAGTGGTAATTATTGCAGTTTTTATAAACTGTAATAATTACCTCTGAGGGTTAACCCTTCCTCTAGTCTACCAGACAGCCACTAGAGGGACTTCCAGAATTGAAATGTATTTTTGGTCCGTTATCTGATTCTGGATGTCCTCACGCTCTGCATAAGGACATCCAGCGTCAGATTTTCTCCATAGGAAAGCATTGAACAATGCTTTCCTACGGGGAGATCCTAATGTGAGCGTGGCCATTGCCACGCATGCGCACTAGGTCTCCCCCCTCTGCGGACATCGGCAGAGGAGAAGTGTGGGCGCTGGACTCAGGTAAGTGATTGAAGGGATTACGAACCCCTTCAGTGCCGAGGGAGGGGGCATTAACCGAGGGGGAAGCTCTAGTTTCCCTTTAAGTACATATGATGGAAATTTTCCGTCATTCTGGCCTTTTACTTCTGAAGCTGTGTCATTAAGGGGTTAATGACACATCCCAGGCGTACTATCCTAACTGCTTCACAAACACCTTCCCACTAGTACACACCTGATGGTTCATTCACTAAACTGTGAATTGTGAAAAGAAAAGGAAAATTGATCATGTTTTCATTGTACATTTTTTTAATCTACATTTTCAATTCTCCACAATTCACCGTTTAGTGAATAAGCCTTCAAACACAGCAATACCTGTACACGCTTGGGAATGATTTGAAAAGTCCACAGCCACCTGTTACATGTTTAATTAGTGTGTGTGAGGAAGACCATTGGAGTAGTATATAAACACAAACTATACCCTATTCCTCAGTTATATCACTACTTGGAGAGAGTTCAAAATGACAAGTATGTATAGAAGTTATTATTTACGAATAACTGTGAAGTGTTTTATCAAATAGGATATATTCCAAGCACTGATTGTGACAGTTTTATTCACTAAACAGAAGAATTGAACTTTTAATGGTAAGATTAAGGCTACAGCTAAACAGTGATTATAGTGGCATTGGAATTTTTCAGCTTCGCCACGTTTGCCTATGTGTTCCCTGGAAAAAAAACAAACATGTTTAACAGCAGTTCAATGAAAACAAGTCGGCTAAAGAACTATGAGATTGTGGGGGGTGTGTTTTTTTTTTTTTTTTATTTTTTTTTTTTTTTTTAATGTATTTTTCTACATCTTGGTATATTGTGAGTAAAACAAACTCCTCCTCCTTCTCAAAACAAAATTACAACTGCTTTACAGGAATGTCTACGCATTTTCGGCAACTTAAAAGACTACTATAGTGCCAGGAAAACAAACTACTTTTCCTGGCAGTATAGGGTTATTAGGTGTCCCCCCACTTACCTTTTATGCAGCGCCAGGCAACTCTCTGGCTTTTTTTATTTATTTTTTTTTTTATGGTTTGTATTAAATGTCCTATTTCTAATTACATCTCTAGGTTTCTGCTCATACACCTAGCCAGTAGCCTACACACATTTGCAATTCTAGTTATAATAAACTTCACTCTGCAGCTTCTTTGACACACTATGGGAGGGGGTGCATTCTACTAGTGTGTAACTTGTCAACATGTTGTCTGGAATATTTTTTTTTTATTTATTTTTTTAACAGGTCTTGTTCTGGCTCAATGGGACCTAAAGAAAAGTGCAAATGCTTTGGCTCATATGACTAGTGACTTTATCACTAAGCAACTTGTTGTGCGAAGAGGACAGGGCTTTAATGTTACTTGCACATTCAACAGGGCCATGACTGATGAGGAGAGTCTATCATTCACCGTTGAGCTAGGTAATGTTCACTAACTGATGACTTTGTAGCTATGATTTAATAAGCTTTCAATTCATGGCCTGGTTTCCCCTTACTTAGGGCAGTGTGCTTCTTATTTCAGAAGATGTTACTCTACTGACGACTGACCTGCATGTAAATTATGCCCAACAGATGCTTTCATGGATGCCTTCTTGTTTAGCATTATATCTGTATGTAAATGACAAAGTTTGAATGTATTAACAAGAGCGCTTCTTTTATCGATTTACCCCTTCAACTACATGCTAGCTCCTGACATACTAAATATCGCACAGCCTCTGAGCAGGGCCTAGATTGGGCCAAAAACTTAGCCAGAGCATTTATAGGCCGTGTGGTCTGCTGGCTTCTAACGTAGTATTCCCTAAAGTGAGAATTCAAAGTCAACTTTGACTTGATGGTCAAAACTACCAAACTGAGAATTCTCCCAATCTTATTGGCTACTCAGACTTTTAGGAGCGTTAAGGTCCAAACAGCTTACGAGGTTATTGACTTTGCTTGGTCAGTTGGTCCTTCCAGTCTAAGATCTAGTTCAGGAGTAGGCAACCTTTGACACTCCAGATGTTGTGAGCTAAATCCACCATAATGCTGGCAAAGAACCAAAAGAACTGTAGTCCACATCTGGTGTGCTGAAGGTTACCAAACACTGGTCTGGGTCCATGGTTTGGTTTTATAATACCAGCTGTAGCAGAGCACCTGTAACTTAGAGTGGTACCTCAGTCATAGCTCTCCCAGATCCCTGAAGGCACAGTAGCATTGTAGCTATTGCGTACCTGAACATCAGGCGTGTCTTGATGAAGAGTAAACTGAATGGATTTATTGGAGGAAAAGACACAGGTTTGCATACAGACTCCCCAGAATGGGTTCTCTATTCAATACAAGGTAAGCTTGCCCATGTGCCTCTGTTTCGGAGATAATTGAGCGCTCCGTTAACCTATCGTCTGGATATAGAGGGATCAACACCAGAATGACCCTGAACCTCTACAAAATAGCATTTTTAACCCCACATGCAATCCATCTCCAGAAAGGTCTGACCCAAGCGCTCATTCTGTGAAAATGGTGCTTGGATCCATGAGGTATTGTCAGAATGCCACTGGGTTAAATTTTATTTTTTTTTTATTTTTTTTTTTGGTTGGCAGCTATGAATGTTCTGGATGAATATGGTTCCAGGCATTCATGTGTTTCCTGGTGATTTTCGTGGGAGCTCTAGTTTGAGGCAAGTAAGCTTCTGCCTGCTTATCAGTAGTGATTTGCTGCCCTGAGTAGCATCAACCCCCTAAAAAGCAGCTTCCTAGGCTATTGGGAAGTGGTGGAAACTGATCAGGGCAAAGCACTGGTGATGGCTGAGACGACGTTCTAGGGCAAACATGGGTAGCTCCCGCAGGCTGTGTTCCTTCACTCTAGCTCGTTGTAGGTATGACAAAAGGGGTGCTGGATGGCCCACACATATGGGGCTATGAGGACTACAGGGATGGTGGTGATTGGTTTTTCAGGTGAGTTCTTTACTCCAGCTTAGACCACAAACTATGGTGTAACTGACACATACAAAGCAGAGATGAAAGTACAAATTTGGATGCAAGGTAACACTAAGGACTTGGTAACCCACAAATTTAAGGACTGGGAGAAAGACTAACAGAAATCAAACTTGACTTAAAAGTGGATTCTAACTCCTTCATATTGTAAAATGAATATCATGGGAGTTTTATTCTTGTTTCTTGTCAATAAATTTAACAAGATGCAAAAACTCCATCTCGCATTCTTGTTACTATGGTGTCTTGACAGTAGATGGCAACAATAGACTTAAGGTGAAAGGGGAAAACCACACACTACTGGCAACTAGTAGGAGAAATTGTTTCAGATGCTTGTATGAGTGAAGCTGTGATTTTTCTTTTAGTGCAACCAATGTATGTGTAAAATAAAGTTGTATGCATGTCTTACACATTCATACTGAGGACATCTTCAAAGTATGTAACCTGCTTGGAATAACACAAAATATTTCTCTATTAGGAAAGTCTCCATCAGAAGCAAGGAATACTCGGGCTGTTATGAAAGTTTCCAGCACTGGGAATAAAAACTCTTGGAATGCCACATCTTCACCTAGTACTGACATTTCTGAGACCATTACCATCAATATACCGGCTACGGCAATCGTTGGGTGCTATCGACTGAGTCTGCAGGTGACAAGTTCAGGGACTTCTACTACAAATAGTCTTGGAGAATTTTATGTGCTCTTCAATCCATGGGCAACAGGTATGGGGAAAACCCAGATGTGTATGTGTGGTTCCCCCACTTAATGAGAAAAGACTCCTATATTTTTATTCACTCTTTGTAGAGGATGAAGTGTATATGGAGAATAAAGAAGAAAAGGAAGAATATGTTATTGAAGAAAATGGACTGATTTTTGTTGGCAGTGAGGATAATTACAGTGGCAGACGGTGGGCCTATGGTCAGGTAATCGTGTTTTTTTTGTTTTTCTTTTTCAGATTAGAAATTTCAAACCAATATGAGAATTTAACAGACTATATAAAAAATCCATAGCCAGTAGAACAAACTAATGGTTAAATTATAAATTGTGGGTCACCTTCAATTCTTAATTATTGGTCAGTTTGACACAAAATAAAAACTGACCACTGTCCCAGAGATAATCTTGATGTGGAATCTACACTCCTGTATTTTCAGTGCCTCTTCTGGCCAATCTGGAATGCAATGGTAGGCTGAGGGCAAGTTAGGAATTCTTCTTCAGCCTAGACTTTTTCGCTCTGTATAGTCTTGTCAGAATGCATTTTGCTCAAAAGGTTTTTCAATCTTTCATCAATACAGGTCATCTCAATTAGTTACATGTATAGATATTTAATTCAAGTATTTTCTGCTTACATATGGTAGATGGGCCCAAGAGATTACTCCAGAACAATGCCAGACTAGGAAACAATTGGCCAGGGCATTTTCTAATTCGAGACCCCCACTGGTAGGGGGTGGGGCCAGAAAGGGCATGTTGTGTAATCAATGACAAGCACCCCCTCCACTCAAAAGTGAGCATGTTCGTTCAGAAGGGATCTGCTTTAAAAGCCTTTGAGGTCAAGTCTCAGGATAAAATGAGCACTGCCATAGAGCTGAAAGTTCTTCAACAGAGGAATAGAAAAAGGAAGTCCCTAATAGACTTTTATGGTGTTAAGGGATCATTTGTTAGGGGGTAACCCTTTAATTACACACATTCTGGACAATGTCCAGTGGATACAAAAGGATCCCTAATAGATATAATCAAAATAATTGAAGGACTTCCAATAACAAACATTTTAAACCAACTAAGTGGCTCTGCAGGTGGATAGGGGAGAGAATGGGTGGGGGGAAGATATAGGCTGAAGGGGATGGGAGTATTAGTCAGAGGTATAGCCCTATATCGGTGCAAAAATCAAACACCATGATCTTCACCACGTCTGCCTAAAAATCACTGCCTTTTGTGGTTAAGAGCAAAACTGTACTGGATAGGATCCAAGGGGATCTCTGTATAATGCACCACTATTGGACACCCTTGTCTGGCAGAATGGAATCCTCCTGTCTTTATTAAAACAGACTGTTAAGAGCGCTAGCATAATGTACAGCTAATACTGGTCCTTGGTTACACGACTAAGACTAGATGTATTCCTCTCGTCAACTTGAACTGGTAGGAGATGCTCTAACCCTCCCACCTAACCTCAATGTAGCTGGACCATGGCAGGTACTCTTCATGTTCTTCTGCGCTTTGACAGGAACTCTGAGCACCATGTAGCAAAAATAGACACCGGTCATACATCACAACTTCTCTTGTCTCTTGGAGCTACCTGTCAGACAAGACAGAGGAAAGATCAAAGGTCCCATGTGGCCACACCACAGTGGGACTGTGCAGGGACGTGTGCTGTGGGCCCACCATGTTGGTATAATACACATCTTTCCTGTAACTTCAACTGTAAAATCTCTGCATTATGCAGATTCTATCTTCTCCCTTTCTCTTCAATCTGACACTGGGATTTAAAAAAAAAATTAAAAAAAATTATATTTTTTAACCTGTAGTTCGAGGAAGAAATTTTGGAAACCACATTTGCATTGCTTGACAAGAGTTTGGATGCCAAGAGGGACCCTATTGCTGATCTCTCAAAGAGAAATAGTGCCATATATGTTTCCAGAGAGTTAAGTGCTATGGTGAGTATAATTGGGGGGAAAAAAACAAAAAAAAACTTGTCTGCTCAGACACTTCAACGTAAACTAATTTTACGAGTAATTAAACATTTTAAAGGGGAGAGGTTTGTCACATCCTGTAACTAACTTTATTTTTTGTTTTCGATCCACAGGTGTGGTATATAACATTTCCAAGCATAAGTAGCAAGCTAGTATACATATCTGTAAACAAACAAACCATGAATAGAAGTTGTAGGTTATTTTCAGGCTACTTTGACTATTTCTATTACTATGGACAATTGACTTGCACATACAGACTACTCCTCGTTTGAGGAATAGCAGACTTGGACAGTTATATTTTATAGCTTGCCAAGCCAGATGTTGAGTGTTGGGTTATTTGGAAAGTCTATATTTTCCACCTGACATGGATATAACCAAACAACCCCTTAAAGTTAAGGCACAAAATGAGCCTCTTGCCTAACCTTACACTCAACCAGTATGTTGCCCTCTTTAAAATGGACTGTATGAAAAGTTCCTATAATGGGTAGCTTCTGTCTGGTCATTTGACTGAATTACAAGGATAAAACAGGCTGGATTGTTGGCGTAAGAGTGTAACTGTAACTTTTTTTTGGGGATGTTTTTGCAGGTGAACAGTAATAATGACAAAGGAGTTATTTTGGGAAACTGGAGTAATAACTATGCTGGTGGTGTGAGTCCTGCTGAATGGAATGGAAGTGTCCGAATTCTCCGTCAGTGGCACTCTAGAGGACCAGTTGCGTTCGGTCAGTGTTGGGTATATGCTGGTGTTCTCTGCACAGGTATGACACAGCCTTACACATTAACGACTTTTCATGGACTTTTTTTAAAAGTGCTATTAGGGCACAGCCTGTCAAACTAAAGTGACTAGGATATTTACGTTTGGTCTTTTGTAAAGTTGCAAGTTATATTCACGTTCACTGGTTTCTGTTGCTTGTATCACAAGTTTCTGTAGTTAGAAATATTAGTCTGTTTAAAAAAACAAAACAAAAAACTTTTTTTTTTTTTTTTTTGAGGGGTGTGGGAGGAAGTAATCCCAGGAGCAACCACTCCTGTTCTCTGCTCAATGTTCTGGTGTTGTCCCTGCTGACCTTATTTACAAATCAAAATCACATGGAGACACAATTATATTAAACAGCTAAATTATCCAAATATAGGATGAACAGTAAATTATAATCACTTTATTATGCACAAAAGAACTATAGTGATAAACAAAATAACAGAAGTAGAGGTAATACAATGGTACAATACCAAAGAATCTTGGTGTTTATATGGCTTGCACCTAGCTATTTAATATAATTGTCTCTCCATATGATTTTTACCAAAAAAGTCAGCAGGGACAACACCAGAACATTGAGCTAAGAAGAGAAAAGGAGCTGTTGCTCCTGGGATTACTTCCTCCCACCCCCTCCAAAAGGGAGGTTTTTTGTTTTTTTAAACACTCTAGTATTTCTAAATACAGCAACTTGTGATACAAGCAACATAAACCAGTGAACTCTAATATAATTACTGTTTAAAGTTGTTATAGTGTGCATCCTATCTTTGGTCCCTGCTGACCTTAAACCTGTCACTGCTCCCTTTTTCTCAAAGCTTCTGGAAAAACTTATCTTTATACGTATGTCTCTCTTCCTCCTTTCCAACTCTCCTTGACCCTCTTCAATCTGGCTTCTGCCCTCTCCACTCTGACACTGCTCTTATCAAAATTACTAACAACCTAATCGCAGCTAAATCCAAAGGCCACTAGCCCTTGCGCTAAGGGTGCACCAGGGGCCTCCTGGTACCATAACAGAACTTAATCTTTATGTGCCTGTAGTACCCCTTAGAGCGATTTTCTCTAATGCACCTTCTGCAACAGACCATCATACATGCACTATTGGGTGTCTTACAAGTGCTAACAAATGTCCTGTAAATTCTCCTAATGTGCAAAACCTGTCTTTTTCTCTCTCCCCACTCCCCTAAAGTTCTCCGTTGCATAGGGATCCCAGCTCGTGTGATCTCAAACTTTGAATCTGCTCATGACACAGACAGGAATCTCCTTGTCGATCATTACTTTGATACAGATAGAAACTCCCTGGACTCTGCTGACAGTATTTGGTAAGATGTGTGTACACTTGTCCAACTGTACTGGATTGCTCTGGCTCTGAATTTGTTCCTACCATGCAGTTTTTCTTGCAAAGAGAATACTACATGCAAATTCTAAATGTACTTTTTTTTTTTTTTAACATAAATTAGTTGTCCGGTTCTTCCAATTGGCAAATGTCTTTCCATGCTGAGGTAACAGCTATTTCAATTTAACAGGAATTTCCATGTATGGAATGAAGGTTGGATGAAGAGAAAGGACCTAGGATCTTCTTACGATGGGTGGCAAATACTGGATGCAACACCACAGGAACCTAGCAAAGGTATTATGGTCATATACTGAGCAATATGAGTTGTTGTGGCTTTATATACCGCTTGTCTCCAATTTCTTTTTGAAATTGTGTTGTCAGAAGGACTTTGCAGCTATAGTCTCTTGTAGAGGAGACACTTCTGTTCTAGGTCTCCCAACTCATAAAATTATGGAAATATTCTATTGGTGGGAAGTCTATCAAGGCAGAAATGGGTGGAAATTCTGGGGCAAAGTGCTAAATAAGGAGCTATTTGCGATGGGAACCAATAAAATAACACAAGGACCATCTGATTCTCTGTAATTTAAAAAAAATATATTTTGTTATCGGTCCTACAGTTGCATGCATGAAGGGTGAAGGAAATATGCCAGAAGAGATGTTTAATCTTTAGTGAGGGCCAGAGAAACTTAAAGCACGACTGAGATTTATAGGAATAGAATTGAGGGAACAGGTGTCCCCTTCTGGCATGGCGGGTGCAAATGAGCTTAGAACAGTGAGGCATGGGTAGGGGAAGTATTGGTAGGAGAGAGAAATCTTGATCGCACAAATCTTCAGTGAAGTGACAACTTTATTGTGGTCAAGTTAGGGGTGTGTGGGTTTTTTTTTTGCAGACCCAATATATCATGGGGTTCCTCAACCCAGTTACCTCTTTACTCTCTGCAGGGTGATCCTGAGTCTCCGCCACCTGGGAGTTGGGGTTCATGATTGTGGCAGTGCCTCCTCCCAGTGGGTGGATGTGGGCTCCCACTGGGAACATAACTGTAGCTTCTCACTCATGTAGAGAAGTATAATTCTGTATTACACAGCCAAACACTATATACAATTAAATAAGAGGTAACCATACATGACAGGCAATGACCCACATGTATTCCACAACATGGTTGAAGTAAATGCTTACACTGGTCAGAAAACTGAAGACCTGGGTCTGTTAATGTGGTCTGCCTCAATGTGCTTTGTGGTGGTACAGGGGAAAGACTATTTTTAGTTTACCCTCAGATCAGTTCACCTGTCACAGCAGCCTCTGCTTCAAACAGCTCTTGCATCCAGGTCTGGTTGTATCTATTTGCGGGGTACTCCTCTGGCTGTCTCTGTAATCCTGTGAACACTGGGTCAGAAAAGGCCTCAGTCCTTAGGCCCAACAATTGCTTGACAGTGCACTTTCTCTGCTTGTATCAGCTCTGCCCTAACTCCAAAACAAAATGGAATGGTTGTAGTCAGCCATGCACTCTGAAGCTTGCCATCTGCTGGTCACCACACAATTGCAGGGTACAGTAGAACCAGAATTCTATAATCCCAGAGAGGTTACAAGTTTTTGGGTTATCGGGCAAAGTGTACTTCGAGAGTTTTAAAGTAGTAGTGCAGAGGAAAATGCTAAACTAAGAGTGCAGTATAAACTTGCAGTGGAGGAAGTCGTGTGTATGTTAAAGCTGAAATTCATTGATATGCATATCAAACCTCTACAGTGCTATTCCATATCTAAACCGTGTCTGATCTGATATTAATCTATGCCTAATACACCTAGGTGGTGTGAAGTAGTAGTACTCTTTAGAGTGCCCCATCTGACTTTGGTTATTTTCTAATGGTTTTTGTTCAAGCACTCTATGGTAGTGTTAACAGATAATATTCTGTCAACCCACCACCAAAGACTCTCTCCACTTCTAGCAATCTGCACCTAAAATAGCACCTGTTTTTTTTTTCTAATATTTAAAATTAGTTTTTTTTTTTTTTACACCTCTGTTCTGATGACCTGCACATATCATTTAATTTTTTTTAAACTTTTATATTTTATAATTTTATCTCTTAGGCATTTTCCGCCTTGGACCATCATCACGAAAAGCTGTCAAAGAGGGTGATGTCAATCTTGATTTTGACAACCATTTTGTGTATGCAGAAGTGAATGCAGACATAGTAGACTGGATTCTAAAGGAAGATGGGTCCCGTGTGAAAATATACACCGACTCTAGATCCGTGGGGCAACGTATTAGCACGAAGGCAGTGGGTGCCTTCTCACGTGTTGACTTGACAAACGAGTACAAATATGCTGAAGGTGACTATGCAGAATATTAAGCTTTTTAACCAGTTCTGTTTAAAACCGAAAGCAAAACCATGCTCTATCCCAAATCCCTATGAAAACTTAAAATATTTTTGGTTTCTGTTCTATGTATTTGAATACTGGAACCACTTTTGCACCCAGAGATGGAGTTGAAACACAGGGTTATATTTGTGTAGTTAGGTGGGGTTGTATTCTGTGGAGTGCTGGCAATAGGCTTCTTCTGGCATCAATACTGCAAAACCTACCCCTCCTGCCACCCCACGTGAACGCAATAGGAACTCCGTCCCTTTTCTCTCTTAAAATTTCTATTTTATAGACAATCTTTGTATATCTAGAGTATAACTTTAGTGAAATTCAAGCACAAAGTAGTGACTATTTTTGTCATGGTGTAAATTTCTTACTTTTGACAAAATAACTTTCCTTCCCCTGTGGCCAATGGACACCCAATAGAGCCATCCACATCAGGTCTCTGTAAAATATGTAAAGACCCCAAAGATTACCTATTCCTTTGACTGCAATGTTATTGCAATAAAGCAGATCTACAACATCTGTCATTTGTCCATCTCTGTAGATAGACTATCAACTTCTATGATGTTTTGACAAAGGCTGGGAAAGTGCTGTTCTATAACACCCAGGGAATCTCTTTTGCCCAGCCCTGAATTGGGGTGTAGTTGAACTCAAAAGATGAGCACTGACACTGCAGCAGTTGGTGTGCCAAATATGAATCCGCACCATCACTGTTAAAATTACCATAGTCCATCTGGAAAAACTTTTAAAGTCTGTTATAATTCTAGTTTTACTGCTTGGAAACCCACTCTCTTGAATAATTGATGATTTATTAAAGAACCTGGAGTAGGGCCCTCTACCTGTTGGATCAGTCTGTTCTTATTGTATTGTCTTTTCCCAATTGTACAGCACTGTGGGATATTTTGGCACTTTATAAATACCAGTAATGAATAAAATGATGCATGTAATACAAGGAATTGCAATGACTTTACAAAATCCTCTCTCCTGCTTGGGTCCACGTTGTGTAGCATTCACATCAAACTATAAATTTTAATTCTATATTCACAATGTAGTAAAGGAACATTCCCTTAACTATACCCCAAAGAACATACGCATGTGGTTTCTTGGCGTAATATGAAGCCTTGGCTTGCAATAGCTGTAGCTACTGCAAGCCCTCCTGTCTTCCAACCCAGACTCTTTTTGTTCCGGTCTTCAGATTTTCCCCATACAATTCAATGAAAAGTCTTTGCAAGGCAGATTCTCTGGGCAACTGCCTGCCTCTTGAGTTTAGCTCACGCTGAGCTAACCAAACCAGGAAGTAACCCAACCAGTTGTCTGACACCCACAGGGCTGTAGCTAGGTTAATTTGAATAGACCTGCACTTTAATAAATTATTACAAAATGGTCTTGGAAAAAATGACACTATTCAAGCTGAAGTGCTGTTTTTGTAGTGTTTATACTTGAGAACTTGGCGACACCCTGAAATCATTGCAGTTGGTTTAATAGAAGTACACTCTTTTGCAGATACCAGAAAAGAGCGAGAAATATTTGAGAAGGCTCGGAAAATAATGCTTAAGATGGATTCTATACCTATGACCCGAAACCCAGCAGCAGGACCTGCAATGGGAACTGGTCCAGTATCTGAACATGCAGAAGCCCCTCTGCCAAAACCAGACTTCACGGGTAGCTTCACAGTGAGCAAAGAGACACAAGTTGGAGAAGAGATCCACTTTATTCTAACATTAAAAAATACTGCTGGTGACTCAAAGCATATTAAAGCAAACATGACTGCCATGGCAATCTTATATACTCGAGCACCAGTCAAAGATATCCTAAAGGACGAGCAGTCTGTCAGTCTGGGACCGAATGAAGGTATGATTGCTGTGAATGTCGGTGCTTATATTGTTCTGTGTATTGTGTACCTATCTAAATGAGGATGGTAAACCTTCAGGACCCAATGTTAGCTTTTTCTCTGGGGGCTGTACTTCCAGACGTTCAACACTTCTACACTGAACCTAGACTATGAGAATTAACCTAATTTCACCTAGTCAAAGCTTTGCTGTTACAGGGGTGGGGAAGAGATCCTAAATCTGTGCTACTTAAAATAGTTTAGAAACCAAAAGTGTAGAATAGAAACAGAACAAATGGGTAGATTTGGTTTTATGCAATATACATTTATCATAATATATAATTTTTTTTCCCTTTGAGACTGGGCAGGTGAAACTCGTGTATATGGTCTCTGTAGACCAATCATGCACTCTGAGTAACTTAGACTCTTTATTTTTTTTTTCTCTCAAAATAATCCATGACATTCTGAAAACTGCCCATTTGCAAAACCTTACTGTACTTTCTACTTCCCTGTGAAACTGGCTGTTTAAAGTGTGTACGTGCAAAGAATCTAACTATTTTTTTTTTCCTTTCAGAGAAGAACATACCACTTACTATAGCATATTCCCAGTATAGAAATGCCATCACAGTGGACAACATGATCCAAGTGGTGGCCATTTGTGTGGATGACAATGGAGGGCAGCTAATGACTTCTTCAGTGGCTATATTGAAGAACCCACCACTGTTGCTAAAGGTAGTAATGGCATTCTGCCTCACCAAGGACTATGCTAATAAACTAAAACCGATCATCAAAATCACTCTACAGAAGTTTGTTCCATTTTAAATATGGGGTATTTTATGCCTCTCTTGAGCTTTGTCTGAAAGTAATTGGCAGGTATCTTTCTCCTAGATGGTCAAGTCAACAGACAAGAATAAATAGGGAGACTTTAGTTTTCTGTGAACAGAGGGATTGATGTTCACACCCACTGACTCTTAAGACCGTTTTAGCCATCAACTAAGTCAGGTCAAATTAGAATATGGGTTCCTTTATCATAAGAAAATCTAATCAACCCTAAAAAAATTGTGATAAAAATCACTTCATTACAGCAGGGAATATTGCAAACTGCTATCATGTGAACAAATATAAACCTCCACTAAAACCAGGTTTTATAAGCCAGTAGAATAGCCACACAATACTCCAAATACAAACCCTCATGGAATTCGGGGGAAAGGTAGTGATCCAGAAGCCTAAAAACACAAAGGCTAGGAAAAATACAAATGAAAATATAATAACCTAGTGGATATAAAATCAGATGGTACATAACCAATAACTTCAGTTGAGCTCCACTGTGGCAGCCAAAAGCCTCCTGACAGTTTTGTGGATAAATGCCAACTCCTTAACTGTGACAAAGGACTGGCATGGCATGTTAAAATCGATGCAGTCAAAGATCAGGGTTTGAAGGTTATGTTGCCTTGTAGTTCAACCATGTAAGAACAAACAAAGGTAATGATAAATTTACTGTTGCGATGTAAATACAGCTGTCCATTTGAGAAACGTTCTGGCATTAGTATTTTCTTCACAAATGGGAACAGCACCCTCACTCACACAGCACACACATATATATTTATTATAATAACCCTCAGTGAGTTAACAGAAAAAGAAAATTAGAAACCTAGAATGTGACAGCAGATAAAAACACCCTCACACACAGCACCCCTCTTACTTACACACACTGTGCCCCTCACACATACAATAAGTCTATATATATATATATATATATATATATATATATATATATACACACACACTACAGCACCACTACACACATTACGCTCCAGATATACACTAGATCCCTTACCCTATATGCACTCTTAATCATATATATATCACACACAGTCCTTTACACAGTAGATCTCCTCCACACACTACATTCCTTGTCAGCAAACACATACAACATTCTCTAAACACACCCTCTCTGCAACCCCTACACACACTACGTCACCTATACACACACTTCAGCCCGTATGCACACTCGCTGCATCCCCTATAAAACTATGCCCCCTATACACACTCTCTACAGCCCCTAGCCACACATCACCACAAATTAAATTGACCTATTTATACAATACCACACCACACTCTACACACACGCAATCCCACAAGCAGGCTCCAAACATATGCACCATGCCCTTTCCTGGCCCTTTGTCCTCTGGTATCCCACTTTTAGAGACACCAGAGACAATTTAAAAGCAAACACAACGCAAGCATGTTATTAAATTTGCTTGCGCTGCGCAGAACAAACTCAGGGCCTTTTTCTAATGCCAGAGCTCTTCAGCAGGGCTCTGGGCATTGAACCAACATGCTCACTTTGAGAGGGGGCGTGTTGTCATTAGTGATGACAAAACACACTCTCTGGCCCCGACCCCTTCTTAGGGGGCTGCTCTGATTGAAAAATGCCTGGGCCTAATTTTTTTTTTTTCCCCCAGTCTGGCCCTGGTCCCAGCCGTTCGAGAGATGGAGACCGCCCAGAAAGGGGTACTTAACCTGCGGTTAACCGCAAGAGCAACGTTCTAACTGATGCCACACGCCAGAATGCAGGTGGCTCCTGTTCGTGAGTCTTTCGGCAGATTCCCTTTGGGGGAATTGCATACGAACGTGGGTCCCCTGGGACCGTCGATTAGTTGGTGGTTAACCGCAGTGCCTTGTGCGGTTAATGAGAGGCACACGCCGCTCGTAGGGTGGTTGGTTATTCGATACGTTTAGAGGTGACTGCATACAACAAGGGCTGGGTGGTCCCTTGTTTGTACATGCGCTTTATAATGGTTCATGCAATGCATTCGTACGGTCTGAATGCCGACATAATAGGGTTTTTAATCGAAAAGCGGTTATGTTGTAACAGTATAAAGCAGGGGTAGGCAACCTTTTAGCAGCACTGTGCCGATATAGGATTGTGATGTCCCGTAGCGTGCCGATCCTAATTTTTTAAATTGAGGTGTGTATGCTGCAGTATTCTGCTTGTTTTTACTGTATCGTATTTGTGCGTATATGAGCTATTATATTGTATATGTTCATTAGTAGTTTATGGTATCGTGTATGATACATATGAATGTGGGCTGTGTATGAGGGCTGCTTGTGGAATTGTGTGTGGATGGATATGTCACATTGTGTTTGGTAGTGTTTGGGGTGCTGCATGTGGGGTTGTGTGCATGTATGTATATTTAGTGGTGTTGCGTTTGTGGGGATTGTGTGTGGGGGCTGTTCATATTTGTGCGTGGGTAGGGTTATTCTACACTTCTGTGTATATCTAGCAGTGTGGATGGGTTCCACTGGGGACTAGGCTGGCCAGGTACAGGTCAAGGACAGGAGCTGCGATAGCTGTCGAGGGCTGCTCTACTACAGTGTGGATTCCCATTCACAAGTGCTGGGAGGAAGTGATCTGAGATCACTTCCTCTGTGCTGCAATGCATAAATTGAGGATTGTCCTTCACCACCTCTTTGTATTAGCAGATATCTGAAGTTTTACTGGGACTCCTGATAGCCCAGAGTGCGTTAGGCTCTAGCAGCCTTGAGTGCCGTGCAAAGACACCTCGAGTGCCGTAGGTTGCCTACCCCTGGTATAGAGTCTTTGTAACACTCTACAACAGGTGAACTGACAGATGCGTTGGATGCATAGGTACAGAGGGTGTAGTGTAATGACAAATTAAACGGTCAATACTTTGCAGTAAACAAAAATTTGACCAGGGAATTGCAAACTGCCATATCTAGCTTCACTATTTTGGCTGTTTCATGTTAGAATATTTCTCCAACTTCTGAATGTCTAAAAGTGTCTCCATGATCATAAATGTGACACTCCAGAATCCTAAAGAACTTCAGCTTGTGTATTTCTGTAAACTGAGCGTAAGTGCACATTTTCTAAACTAATCTTGCAACACCCCTCTGGCTGGTCATGTTGATCTGATTATACCTTGCAATATGTTTATGCTTTTTATTTCTCTCCCTTCCCTATTTGAAGTTCTCTGGAGATCCCATCTTAAACACTCCATTAACTGTGGAAGTTGTATTTGTTAACCCACTTGAAGAGGATGTTGAAAATGGACATGTTTTGATTGAAGGCTGTGGCCTGGTGAAAAATATACTTTCAAGGCCGTAAGTACAAGTCTTTCCACTTTTGGAGAACAAAAAAATTACCCTTCGCCCCCATAATGCCAGTGTAGCTATATTGACGTTATTGTGTTTAGTAAGGTTTTCAATTAACTAAATTGTATATTTCTGATTTAATAGAAGTTGATTTTTAAAGCATTTACCCATCTTGTCTATGGCCATATCTTGACTTAGAATAAACTTTTTATATTTTATTTTCTTTGTGGTTTATCTAAATGTTGAATTTAAAGTCAAATTAAGACGTGGCATATGTCTACAACTCCTTCTCCTTCTGCCCTGTCACGCCAAGGGTGCACAATAGAATATTGCCATTTAATGTAACATGTAGTGCATATATGAATTGACCACTTGGTAGAGATCAGATGACCGGAGTAACGTAAATTGCACTGGAATGTGAAAAGGGTCAGACTGTTAACCATATGGATAAATCCTTTGATTAATCAAAGGCTCTGCAAGGTTTGAGAATTCACACAAGTGGCCTGGAAGTCTGGTGTAAATATAAACCCTCTAATGTGCCATATGTCTAGATTCCTTTTTAGATGAGGGGTCCTTTGCTATGTTAATGTAGTGGTTCCCAACCCAGTCCTCAAGGCACCCTGACCAGTCCAGGGTTTAGGGATTACCCAGTTGTCTAAGGTGTTTTTACAAAGAAGAAAAATCCTTGAGGACTGGGTTGGGAACCACTGCGTTAATGGCCATTAGCCTTGTGCTCAAGTATCTCATCCCCAAAAAAGTAATATTTACCCACAGAAGCTTATATTTGGAACTGGACAAGCACACTTCTAATAAAGGCCAAACATGATTTGCGTAACTGAACCATAGGGGAAGGGATTGTGATGTCTGCTATATTGGGTCTATGGAATGTAAAAATGGTAACAATCATATATGCAACTATTTCTATGGTACTGGAAGTCTAAAAATACACCAACGCTTCCTATAAGGAAACATGTGGCTAGGTCTGCATAAACAAAAAACAGATATTGGACTCCTAAATGGCAGAGAACGGAGCAGTAGACTGCAGGCCACGACACTGTCTATCTGCTGCACACAGAATGTTCAAAACCTCCATGGGAGGTCCAGCCCAAGTGGCAATAGCCTTTTGCATAATTTTCCACTATTATGAAGTCATGCCTCTTCTGGGTCTTGGAGTAAGCTTGCAGCTCTGGCTATGTAGTGTTAAGTGTAGCAGAGAACTCTACTAGAAGTGTGATGTTCTCTTATTACAGTAATGAGAATCCTGCTGACCATGTCTTGCCCAATCTGTCTGCACCCTTGTTTAATAATGTAAAAGACTTGTAGAAATTGTAACTTTCTTCCTTGCCATCATTTATCACCGGCTTTAGTTAAGCCTAACTCTCTTCCTGCTGTAAGAATTAAAAAAAGCTATTCACCTGGCAGTAGTGCTGTAATGTAATAAATAAAAACTTTTTTCAATTTCCTTTCAGTGTGCCGCTTGTGAAGCCAGCCGAAACTTCCATAACCAAATTTGACTTCACGCCATACAAAGCTGGGCTGAAGTGTCTCATAGCAAATTTCTCTTCTGACAAATTCTCTGGTGTGAAGGCTTTTCAGATGATTACTGTTGTTGATGCAGTTGTTGCATAAAAACTGTAAATTTGTCGTTACTGTAACACATTCCACAAAAGTGTTCTAAACTGCGACTTTTCTGACCGCAACTTTAAAAATAAACCATTCATAATGAACTTGTTTCCATTCTGGTTGACTTATTTTAATGGATTTCTAGTGATTGTGTGTATATTCCTTGGTGGTTTGTGGCTTGGCTTTGGTAACTCCCTTCCCCTCAATTTACTTAAATAAAAACTTCAAAAACTTCAAAAACTTTAATTTTTTTTTTTTTTTAAGCACTTCCATCAAACTCTCATCTTTAGAGCAAATAGGCATGACATGTGGTGTATAAACTGTAAACGACCACTATAGTGCCTTGAGGGTGCCCCTACCCTCGGGGTCCCACTCCATGGCGCGCTGAAGGAGGAGGAAGGGATTAATCCCTTACTATAGCTATATCTAGTTGGTTAGTGACTGTGAAATACTATATGATTGGTTAAAGTCGGTGAGGTGTGCCGGGGAGGGGGGGGGAGTGAAAGATTGCAGATAAACACACTTTATTCTTAACATAATTATGATACAAGGTTCTTAAATGCTTGTCTTAACTCTTTCTCTGGATGTGGTATATTGCAGATTCCCAACGCCCTAATTTCTTATGTTAACTGACGTGTTAGTACTGGATGCGGCCCCTATCCTGAATGAGATGCGGGGTCCCAGCCTAATTTAATGCAGAGTACGAATGTAAAACCTGACCTTGGTGATAGTTAGGGGATTGCCTAGCAGTGTAAAAAGCTGAGTGGCTGGGATTATATTTGATCTGTGCAAGTGTATGACACTTTAACCGGGCACCCGTTATTTCCAGTTGGGTAGAAAGGTATTTCAACTGGATGGCCTGTTTATCTGTTCTTTGAATGTCTGAGTAATAGGATGTAATGGTCACTTACACTTTTTTTTTAAATCCTCTTTGAGACATAAATTGTGTTGCAATCATGAATTCTCTAGCCCTCAGGAACCCATAAAATGCTATATACATTTTTTCTTTTTTTTTATAACTAGGTTTGTGCAAGGTTCAAACAGTAGTGTGTCCAGTGTATCCGATAACGCCTGGAATTTCTCACCATCTATGGGTAGACGTTTGTTTGTAGTGTGGTGATCAAGTTTGTGTGGGTTTTTTTTTTTTTCCAGGTAAGTACTGAGGAAAGGAGTATGGTTTGGAATGGCGGTCAAAATGTGGTGCTGTATACCAGACTGGTAAATTTTAATCGTATTGTATGAAAGTTTTGAGTTGAAGTTGGCAAAAAGCAGCAAATGTGACCATGGCTTGCACTGAATAGTCGTGTAAATCGAATTCTACTGAGAACCTTTGTAAGACGGTCATGGCTCTGTCGTATGTTCTCTTGGTATTCGCGGATAAAGCTACCTGAGACAGTTTGTAACGGTGTGCCAAAACCTGGGCTAATCCAGGATTAACTTGTCGAAATCTGGGGTTTGGCTTGGGTATTTGACAGCCGTTGGGTGGAGGCTAAATTCCTGTAATTTACAACGGGACAAAGCATCAGCAGCGGAGTTAGCGTAGCCTGGGATGTGTTTGCAGTATAGATAGAATTGAAAGGTGTCTGCGAACTAACTTCATAATGACCAATGAAGATGAACGGCCCTTATTGATTGTCGCAGGCTGCCATGTTATCAATGTAACATTTAGCAGCCATGCCGACCAGGTTTTTTTTACCCCACGTAAAGGCAGCTGCTACTATAGGGTAAACTTCGAATAAGGCCGATGTTTTGCAAAAGGAGGGTAAATAGTCTCCTCTGGCCAGGCATCTCTTAACAAAGTTTTTGTATATTGCTGCAAACCCGGTATTGGCGGCTGCGTCTGCCCAAAAACTGGGGATTGGTCATATATTGGAGGGATGAACATAGAGAACCCAATCCAATGTTCTGAGAACTCCTTCCACATAACTAGATCTGCCATTGCCAGGGATCTAAGTGATCAATATGTTTATCTGGCAAACCTGGTAATAAACACCATAACATGGAAATAAATGATCTACCCTGGGGAATTATGCGCATCGCGAAGTTCAAAGAACCTAACAAAGATTGTAGGTCTTTGAGTGTAAGTATCCTGTTGAAGGAACCGGTCTCTTCGCGTATGCGCCCGAGCTTGTAGCTGGGGAGACTTGACTGCATTGTGTCAGAATCTAGAGTGATGCCTAGGAAGTTGAGTCTGGTGGTGGGTTCAGTTGTTTTGTCCAGTGATAGATGGACGTCTAACGTAAATGGTGCTCTTTAGACTGATCGGAGTGCAGTTGTTACATTCTACCAACAAGAAGTCGTCTAAATAATATATCACCGTGGGGCACCTAGCGATATTGAGGATGAGCCAACAGTCTCAGCAAACATGTTGAATATTTTTGGACTACTCTTAGTAGCCTAGTTGCAAAATTTCTCTCTCCACTTGACCCCGTGAACATGCCATAATGAAGGATGAATGGGTAACAGCTTAAAGGCATTGGAGATATCGGTCTTACTGAGCCATGCGGCTTTACTTGCCCTCAAGATTGCTTGTATGACATTATCCACTGTGGCATAGTGAAGAGAGAATTCGGTAGATGGAATGAGGGAGTTTAGGCTTGGGTTTGTAGACGAATGAGGAGCAGACAGATCGATGATTAGACTTTTTTTTTATTGGAATATTTACTGGTGGCTATCCCGATTGGATTTGTGCGCCAGGAGCTGAAGGGGGGGTGGTGGGGGGGAGGAAAATGGGCCTATCATGAAGCCTTTTTTGATTTCTTTACCAATTAGTTCGTCTACTGTTTGTGGATCGTTCCTAGCTGGAAGGAGGTTGGGACATTCTAATGTGCCTACGGGGAGTGACTCCAACCCGGTGTGAAAACCTTCTGAGAAGTAATAAGTGTTCTACCAAGTGAGGAGACGGGTGCAACTTCAAGTAGAATTCTAGATTACTTGTATTTACATCCGTTAGCAGGGCCGGACTGGGAATTAAAAGCAGCCCTGGAAAAAAATATTTACCAGCCCCATAATGCATCGCGCCAGCATAGTGTGCAGATACAGAGTTAGAACAGATAACTTAAAATTAAAAAGTACTTCAACGTAAAAAGCGCACTCATAGGCTTCAAAATAAACAAAAGTGCAGATTTATTTTAAGCAGACGTGCCTTTGCATGTAATCAATGTTTCAGTCCAACTACCTTGACATATTAAGGAAAGCTTGTTAATGGGACTGAAATGGTGAATGTATGTAGGGCACAACTGAAATTTTTTTTATTTTGAAGTCCTGTGGGTGTGCTCTTCACTTTAAATATGTTATTGTGCTGGAGTATGCACCTACCAATATCTGCTCATTACATATGGTACATATTAATGAAATTTCTGTGTATTATGCATATATAAATGCACATTAATATGTGTAAATATAATAGATATTAAACTAATACATTAATATACATGTCATATACTAATGGCGGATCCTGAGCCTGAGAGGGGCACTTGTAGATTATTTAAAGAAATATTCCATGCACAATAACCACTACTCCTCTGTGTAGTGGTTATGGTGCCAGGAGCGTCGGCACCCCCTCCCAGAGTAAGTTGTCAAACCGTTTAAGAACAGTTTGACAACTTACCTGGAGTCTGCTGGGATATGGGGCTGTAGTAGGGTATAGGAGCAGTGGTGCAATGTGTGTGAAAGGTTCAGTGTGTGGGTGGGCAGTGTGTAAATGTGTGTGTGTGGGGGCGCAGTGTGTGAATGTGTATGGTGTGTGTGTGTGGGGCAGTGTGTGTATGGGGCTAGAGTTCACTCCTACTACTGGGACCACCAGGAAGTGGTGAGAGTGAACTCTAGCCCATAGCTCCAGGGCTAGAGTTCACCCGCGTGAGAGCCGGAGCGTTGCCCCAGGTCCTCTCTTCCTCCCCTGCCGACTGGCTGCACGGTGCCTGTGGAACGGGGAGGGAGATCGGCTGGCAGGGGAAAGCCTTGGGTGCTTTGTGATATATACTGCCCCTATGTGTGTCTCTTTATCTCCAGCCCCTCTGTGTGCCTTTTTGTCTCCCCCAGTCACTCTGTATGTTTCTTTCTCCCCCTCACTGCTCCTCTGTGTCAATGTCTCCCCTCTCCTTCCCAGTCTCTCTCTCCCCCCTCTGCCTCTTTCTTCCCCTCCCCTTGTGTGTCTCTCTCTCATTTCTCCCTCTTTGTCTCTCTCTTCCCCTCTGCCTCTTTCACCCCCTTTCCCTGTGTCTCTCCCTCCTCCCCATCTCTCTCCCTCCCCCCTTTCCCTGTGTCTCTCCCTCCTCCCTCTATTCCCCTCTCCCCCCCCCCTTTACCTGGAGAAGTCAGGGGGCCGGCCGGTTTCTTGGCTGGAGCCGCCGGGCCGGGTGGCAGCTTCCCCGGTCCGGCAGCCCTGCTCCTCTCAGTGCTGTGGCTGATGGAGGAGGAGCATGGTACAGAGACATGCTCCTCCTCCATCAGCCACAGCAGTGAGCAGGGGAGGGCTGGCAGCCTTAGGCCTGGGGGGCAAAACCAGTCAAGTGGCCCATTGCACCACCAAATCAGTTCACCATCTATGCCCACCTTTTCCTGGTTTTATAACGGATATTGATGTTATGCTAATCAGTAGCTCTTTGCCATACCCGCTCCTTCACGGCTCCAGGCACTGCTTGTTGTGAGTGTGAGCTACTGTAAATTAAGGGCAGAGGGCACTTGCACGGCGGTAAAGATGGGGCTGGGCAGGAGGAGAGTGCAGTGCAATCAGTGCACTCCCCTCCTGTGGGTCAACAGACTGGTGCACCTGCCCAGGATCAGAGCCGGTGCAAGGATTTTTGCCGCCCTAGACAAAATAAAAATTTGCTGCCCCCCCATGTGACATCACAATGCCCCACCTATATGAACTAACGCCAGTGCTGCACACAGTGTGTGTTTACATTAAAAAGCCTGCAGGGACCAGCTATAGACACCAGAACCACTTCATTAAGCTATAGTGTCCTTTTAATGTGAGGTAAATTATAGATTAGTGTCACTAATAATATACTAGATTGCCTACTTACAACCAGATGAGGATGATGATGGGCTGCAGTTTGTCACTTTCGGTTCGTAGCCAGATTTTGGAGG